GGCCTTTCTTAGGAGCTGGGAGAGCGGGAGCAGAGCCTTTGGCAGCTCGCTCTTAATAACCTAAAGTCTAATGAATGCTGGGAGGAAGAACAAAAGGAGAAGTCGTGCAAACTGAAATGCTTGTCTGCAGTCCGGTGAATCGATTCGTTATGTGGGCGCCGGGTTGTGTTTGTGAGATAACTCTTGGTTGATCACCAGGGACGGCGTTTGTATTAAAAAAAGGCTTTAATTATCACTGGTGAGACTGGCTCGGGCTGCAGGTCACCGTAGCTGGAAAGTCTTCCCCTTTACTAAAGGGGACGTGAATTAAAATAAATTACGTTTTGAGATGCCGCTGACCTAAATTTGTAACCTGGGTGTAACGAAGTCTTTACCAGCCCTGCCCTTCAACCAAGGAGCCGCCTCCTGCTGCCGCGAAGCAGCCCCAAGCCCCAATCGATCCGCTGCCCCGCAGGTGGCTTCCTGAAGCCCCAAACTGGTGATGACACTGCAGTGTCCTAACGAACCGCTTTACATCACAACGCGGCCGTCGCAGCCTGGGCTTGGCCCTTCTAGAGAGCCAAATCTCTGAGCAGGAGGTTAATTGAAGAGTTAAGAGGAACTGGCTGTTATTTCCTCATTTCCTTAGCCCTTAGTGTTCCCACCACCATCTCTCCTTCCTTTTCCTTCCGTTCACGCTGGAGAAAGGCCAAATACAGGTGTCTTTCCCTTAGGTTATGTCCCTCAGGGGTCGGTCTTTCCCTGGTGTCACAACTGGGAGAGGAGAGAGCCAGACCCTGGGCAGGATTCAGACCCTGAATTCTGAATTTAGAATTCTGGACCCTGGGCAGGTCCAGAGAGGGGATTCTTCCATTTTACTCTGCTCTGGTGGGGGAGGCTGTGGGTTGGGGGGGGAATGTGGCTGCCCCCCAGGGCTCACGTCTCGTAGGTGTGAAAACAAAGGTGAGGCTCAATCTCTGTTTTTTCTCCAAATAATGCTGATCCACATCTGTGTTCGTGCCTCGTGTGTCTCTCATCGTACGTGTGTGTGTATACACCTAGAGATATATATATATAAATATTTGTTTTGGTCCTGAAAGCCTTGTATTAAATCAGTAGTGGTGTCGAGCTGGGTATTTATTAGCCCAAGAGGGTTTGGGGTGTTACTCCCCATTGTCTTCGCTGATGATCTCTTGTCGGTGCTTTGATAGTGGCTTTATTTCTTTATTTATTTAATTTTTTGTCACGGCGGGGCTGGGCTGGGCTGGGCAGACACTGCAGGGGTTCGTTTCGGGGTCTGGCTCGCTCGGATTATCTCCTGCTGCCTGCGAGATGCTGCCCAAACCTCTCCAGGGCGAAGTGTCTTCATTCAAACCTCTTTAGGTTTTCCAAATCGGGGAGGGCATTTCTTAGGAGCTGGGAGAGCGGGAGCAGAGCCTTTGGTATCTCGCTCTTAATAACCTAAAGTGCCCCCCAGGGCTCACGTCTCGTAGGTGTGAAAACAAAGGTGAGGCTCAATCTCTGGTTTTTCTCCAAATAATGCTGATCCACATCTGTGTTCATGCCTCGTGTGTCTCTCATCGTACGTGTGTGTGTATACACCTAGAGATATATATATATAAATATTTGTTTTGGTCCTGAAAGCCTTGTATTAAATCAGTAGTGGTGTCGAGCTGGGTATTTATTAGCGCAAGAGGGTTTGGGGTGTTACTCCCCATTGTCTTCGCTGATGATCTCTTGTCGGTGCTTTGATAGTGGCTTTATTTCTTTATTTATTTAATTTTTTGTCACGGCGGGGCTGGGCTGGGCTGGGCAGACACTGCAGGGGTTCGTTTCGGGGTCTGGCTCGCTCGGATTATCTCCTGCTGCCTGCGAGATGCTGCCCAAACCTCTCCAGGGCGAAGTGTCTTCATTCAAACCTCTTTGGGTTTTCAAAATTGGGGAGGGCATTTCTTAGGAGCCCCCAGAGCGGGAGCAGAGCCTTTGGTATCTTGCTCTTAATAACCTAAACTCTAATTAATGCTGGGAGGAAGAACAAAAGGAGAAGTCGTGCAAACTGAAATGCTTGTCTGCAGTCCGGTGAATCGATTCGTTATGTGGGCGCCGGGTTGTGTTTGTGAGATAACTCTTGGTTGATCACCAGGGACGGCGTTTGTATTAAAAAAAGGCTTTAATTATCACTGGTGAGACTGGCTCGGGCTGCAGGTCACCGTAGCTGGAAAGTCTTCCCCTTTACTAAAGGGGACGTGAATTAAAATAAATTACGTTTTGAGATGCCGCTGACCTAAATTTGTAACCTGGGTGTAACGAAGTCTTTACCAGCCCTGCCCTTCAACCAAGGAGCCGCCTCCTGCTGCCGCGAAGCAGCCCCAAGCCCCAATCGATCCGCTGCCCCGCAGGTGGCTTCCTGAAGCCCCAAACTGGTGATGACACTGCAGTGTCCTAACGAACCGCTTTACATCACAACGCGGCCGTCGCAGCCTGGGCTTGGCCCTTCTAGAGAGCCAAATCTCTGAGCAGGAGGTTAATTGAAGAGTTAAGAGGAACTGGCTGTTATTTCCTCATTTCCTTAGCCCTTAGTGTTCCCACCACCATCTCTCCTTCCTTTTCCTTCCGTTCACGCTGGAGAAAGGCCAAATACAGGTGTCTTTCCTTTAGGTTATGCCCCTCAGATTTGCCTGGGGTCAATCTTTCCCTGGTGTCACAACTGGGAGAGGAGAGAGTCAGACCCCGGGCAGGATTCCGGGCTATCCCTTCCGGCCTGGGCAATTCTGTGATTCTATGATTCTGGACTGTTTCCAAGGCAGAGTGATGCTCCTTTTGCAGAAGGAGAAATCACAGCTCTTCCCACATCGGGCTTCAATCCCCTTCACCAGGGCTTTTGTACCTGCAGGCTTCCAGCAGAAGCAGGATGGCATCCAGTGGTTGTTTTCACATAGCGAAGATGTTTGTGTGTGTTTTTCCTGCCCTGTTACCTGGTGTTTGAACTGACGGGTGGCTCCGCCCGAGCAGCATTTCTTTTTTTTCCACGGAGGCAAGTGAAACGCTTGGGTTTGAAAGGCAGCATACAGTTTTTATGCTTGTGCTGGTGTACAACCCCGTGCTGGTTGACTCAGGTGGACTTTTAAAGGCAGCGTGTCTAATTTTAAATTTTAATTTGAGTTCACTACAGCCTTTAGTCTCCGGGGATTCAATATTTTCTCTGTGTTTGGGTGTCGGGGAAGCCCTAGAGGAAACCTCGCCTGCAGAACAAATGGTGTTGTCCTGCCTGTGGTTGGTATAAAGATGGGGATGGTTTATTGCTGCTGTTGAATGTGTGTTACCTTTGACTTGAGGATTTCGAGACGCTGGTGTTGCTAGTTGCTGATTCAGGCACTTTCTGAAGGGGATATTTGTTGCCAGGGATAGTGGGGATGTGCTCGAGTGTCCTTAATTTCAGGAAATGTATAGAATCTTCACGTTTCACAGAAGGAGTGACACCAGCTGTAGCTCTGGAGTGGGAGGAGGATGGGGACGGGCTGTTCTCTGTGTGTTCCCAGCACTCGACTGATCTTTTAAAAGTTCTGTTTTCAGGGTTTCGAGGAAGGCGTTTGGTTTCGGCGCAGCCTGTTTCGCCCGCTGCCTCTTCCAGCCACACTTCCACAGGATGTGAGCGAGTGCTGCTGGAAAAGGCTTCCCACTCTCTGGATAAACAGAGCTGCGCCTCTGAGGGAAGTTATTTTGCCTTGTGTATTTAGTCACGGCAGGCTTTGTTGTAAAACATTGATTCAGGGCTTTGCCCTGACACATTTTCAGGAGGTTGAACGTAAATAAGCGTCGAGCCCTCGGCTTTTGAAATGCAGCGTCGCGTGGGGATGTCTGCGAGGGCTTATAAAAGGTGGTAGAGCCAGAACTAAGCTCAGATTCGGCCCAAATCTGGATAAAAGAGGACTCTGGTGGCTCTGATAATGTGCTTTCTGCAGGTAAGAGCTCCTTTTGGAGTGTATTTTCTGACCTGAGCGGGACTGTCTGCAGTTGGTGACGTTCCCGAGAGACGCGTCAAGGTATCTGGGCTGCGCTGCCAAGCGGCTAATGCAGCTTTTTGGATGTAGCTTAGAAATTCAGGTCAAAATCCATTTCCAACTCGCTCGTTGTCTTAGATGAAAGGGGAGCAGGGTGACACATCCGCAGCGAAAATTGGGGCTTGCGTTGAGCAAGATGCGGAAAACACGGACTTTGCCTTCAGGAGTTTGCTATTTCCA